GCATTTGTTCCCATGAATGCTTTGCATACCATTCTAGATCATCTTGATAAGCTTCATGCGCTTTGTCATGAACTATCTTGCCGCACGGACTCATTCTTACATGATGGACACTTTGTGTGCGCTAACCATTGTATTTCCGAGTGTTGTTTGTGTTTGCTCCTTTTGCATGTATACCACTCCGGCGACACCTTGGAATACTTGGATTACGCCATGCATTCAACTTCATCCAACTACAAGTCCGTCCACGACAACCATTTCCATGGTGATGAGGATCACGATCCGAGGTCGGATCTTTCCCAAGGGGGGGGGAGATGATGCGGAGCATCCCACGTTCATCCCCATGTACACTCCGACTACTCTCCAAGCTCCAAGGATACATAATATCAGACCTCGACTATGCGCCATTGGACACAAGGTGAACCCGTTCCTAAATGCTTCCCCTTTCCATTCGTGTGAGACATGGTTGCTACCTAATGCAAGGACACTATGCATGCCTAGGTACCAAGGAGACCCTCTCGAAGATGCTCGGAATGATGGACAAGTCCCCAAGTACAAGGATGAAGGAGCACGACGAGAGGAACCGAAGAAAGGCTACAAGACCCGGACATCCGGCCCCGACCCAGACATCCGGCCCCTGAAGATGTCAACAACAGCATGAGCGCAGCCATCGAAGTGCTACAGGGCCCGGACATCTGGCCAGGCCCTAGACATCCGGCGCCCCGCGACAGCCAGGAAATCCGGCGCCAGCCCGGACATCCGGCGCCCCATCACAGAATGTCCAGAAGCTGGATCAAGCCAGCCCGGACATCCGGCCCAGCGCCCGGACATCCGGCGTCTCGGGAAAGCCCGGACATCCGGCCCGTCGCCCGGACATCCGGCCTCCCCTGCCCGCGTGCAGTGCATCCGGGCCGAGGCCCATGTACCCCTTCGCCCCTTAGACTATATATACTCCCCCTCCACCTACGTTTTACGGTTAGCGTTGATTTAGCTCATTTGTGAGATAGAGCCTGGCTCATCCATCGGATCTCCTCCTCGTGAGAGACCGCGGCCTCTTCGGAGAAGATCCACTTGGATTCAAGACCCCTATACGGGAAGATCCCCTCGTGGATTCAAGACCTCCTCTCGTAGAAGAACGGTTACCTTTGTATCTTTTCTTTGTTGATTTTGAATCTTGTCCTACCTTATGTGTTCGATGATCTAGCCCTTGTGTGATCAATTACTTGTCGGTTGAGTGATTCTCTCATTTCTCCCCGTGTTTTCCCTTGTGATTTCCGCGCGTTCTTCGTGTTTTCCCGTAGGATCCACTCCAAATGTGAAAGATCGGCCCCTAGGGTTCCGCCCTACATCAACATGCCTTCAAGGTGACATCCTTCTTGAGCATGGATATTGTGGATCATACTACTTGTGTTGCTTGCACCATGAGACTTGTTGGTCATCTTAGACCACTTGATTGCGCACATGATAGAGATCTTGCTTCTACTTGCCATTTTCGCATTTCCATGCCTCATGACATATATACCTTGTGTGTTGCATCCAATTCTTGGATTACTTGCTCCTATCATATGTTTGGTTGCAACAATGCCACTTCTTCACATATGCCATGTCCCATTGCTTGTCACATGCTTGACTTGGTCGCCTCACACATGATGAACAATTGCTCTTTCTATTGTGTTGAGTGCCACACTATATTCACTACACCCTATACACACTATGCTTGGATCGTCTTGCACTTGACCCATGTGTTTAGACACTTCATTTTATTTGGTGTTGTGAATGATTCCTATGCCTACCATAGACCTTTCATTGAGCGCTTTTTGAATGCTTGCTATGAACTTGAGGTAGATGCTTATTCTCTTGTCACACATATTTGCATCTCTACCTCACATTTACATGCTTGTTTCCATGATGATTTTGATTTTGCTCAATTCATGCTTACATGTCATGTCACAATCCTTTGTCAATCCATATGCTACGCTTGATGACGACACTTGTTTGGTGAATCACCTGATGAATGCTTGGTTTTGCACTAATGCTAACCACATTTGTTTTTCCAAGTGTTTGTTGTCTTTGCCCATTTTGAAGGAATCACTAGATGGTGCGACATTGGAGAGTGCCCACTTCAAGCTTGAAGATGATGACTATTTGGTGAACGTCCACTTCTACACGGCAAAGCCATCTCTTTCCCATGGTGATTTGGTTTTCGATCCGAGGTCGGATATTTTCCAAGGGGGAGGGGATGATGCAGAGCATCCTACAGACATCACCATGTCAAGAGTCCATTTGGCAAGTGACACGTGCGACATCTACTTCGCATACACAAAGGTGAATCGTCTCCTTTACACGTGCTCACTTGACCCCTTCGAGGATGGTGTACTACTTGACACTTCTCCCGTGTGCATGCATAGGTATTGTCGGAGCTTCACGGATGTCAAGGAGGAGTGCAAGCGCCAAGGAACGACTACACCATCCGCGAGGGAAGCATGGAAGATAAGACAGAAGAAATGGAGCTGCTACAAGTCACAGCCACCAGACGGCCGGTCCTTACCGGACGTCCGACGCTTGGAGGTTCAGCCTGCCAGAACAGCTACAACCGAGGGACCCTACAGTGCCCGGACGACCGCCAGATACCGGACGTCCAACAAGTATCAGGGACCGGACGACCGACGCCGATCGGACGACCGGTGCCACCAGTCTAGAGAAGAAACAACAGAAATCCGAAGACTTCCGGACGCCCGGCCCGTCCCGAGCCACCGGACGTCCGACCCCCACCGGACGTCCGGTAACTGCCTGTGCACATCCACGGCCTTTGGCCTTGCATCCTCTCCAACTTACCCCTTCGTGGCTAAGACTATAAATAGACCTCCCCCTCATCCTTTCTAAGGATAGCAAATATGATAGCTCATTCTTAGGTGAGCTTTGCTCCTACCTCCTCCTCTTGAGAGAGAGAGAGACCACTCCCATGGAGTTCAAGACCTCCATGTGAGGAGATCCTGCGGGATATCATCAAGACCCCCTCGTGGAAAGATCCGTCTAGGATACCATCAAGACCTCCTCTTAGAGATGAACCTTACCTTGTATCTTTCCCTTTGTTGTTCATGTACCTTGTGGATCTTGTGTGTTTGATTGTCTAGTGGATGTGTAATTGGACTTGTTCTTGAGTGTTTCCCCTTGTGATTTCTCTCTGTTCTTCCCCGTGATCATTGTGTTCTTGGTAGTATTCCCTCCAAACGTGAAAGATCGGGTGTCTAGGGTTCTACCCTACATCACCGTCACATCTGAGTCAGCCTTCAATATCTTGTCAGGCAAGATGACAAGTATTAGTGCACAAATTCACTGCAAATGGGCACTTGCTGTTGGGAAAATGCCACTGATCGGTGGCACTGCTTAGGATAGTGCACTGATCAGTGGACTTGCCCAACAACAAGTGCCACTGATCAGTGCACTATCCTAAGCATGAAAACATCTAAAAATAGCAAGTGCAAGTGCCAATAGCACCCATGTGCAATCATGCACATTTGGCATCATCCTTAAATGGTCCTACTACATGCACGTATAACAATCAACACAAACCCTAGCATGAACACAACTACTAGAATGAACACAACTAACTAGCATGATGACATGTCTTAGGACACACTAGCAGTAGCAGAAAAAATTATCCTAGAGCACACACTGTAGAAAACAAGAACAGATCAGTCCGATTGGATTTGATTGGGATCAAATCAAATCGGATCTACTCGAATCCTATCTAATCCAATTGAATCCACTAACTACTAGCATATGCCTAAGAAAATAAATCCCTAATCTACATCTACGAGCAGGCATTGTGGGGTTTGACTTATCGGAGCTTGCACAGCCGCAGCGAATCGAGGCCGGGGTGAAAACTCTGGCGGGAAGGAGACCGGTGGCGGAGCAGAGGAGGAGCCGGCCCTGACGACGGGCTGCGACATCGGCCCCGTGCTCATGGCCACACCGGAGGTCGAGGAGGACGGCACGCTGATAGGAGAAAACCCTTGGACGGGGGTCAAGAAACCCCCCCTGCCCAATGGGGTCCCAAGAAGCGGCGGCTCCGTGGACGACGCCGGTGCCGAGCCCAGAACCACGAGGTCCGAAATCAGCGGCGGAGCAGGAACGCCCGACACCGCAATGGCCGGCCCTCGTGGTGGACGGCAGCAGATGAGGGACGACGCTCGCAGCGCCGACGCCAGGTCCCTGCCCGAGTTCTGGAGCCCGACCAGCCAGCGCTCCTGGATGCTGGCGATGCGCTGATCGACGGGGGACAGAGGGCGGCGTGGCGATGGGCGAGGCGAAGCCATCGGAGGGGATGAGAGGGAGAGGCGATGAGGCAGAGAAGGATCGATGGGAACAGTGCGCTGGGCGGTGACAGGAGAGTGGGGGGAGTTATGAGCGTCACTTTCGTCTCCCGCACAGCCCGAAGCGTGCAACCGCCCCGCTGGCGTGGCCGCGCCGAGTCAGGCTCCGGCCGCCACAACCCGCATGCAGCCCAGACAACCAAACAAGCTACACACATCCCGCACGGGCCTGGTTGGGCTGGATGCGGGCAGCCAACTACTCCACGAGACGAGACGTGCCCCACTCGACAACCCAGAGACCCTCCTCCTTTTCTATTTTTTTTTTGCGGGGACTCCTTTTTTATTCGCTCACCTTTCCTCTCCCCACCTTCTCCCCCAATTCTCACCTTTCCTCTCCCTCGGTCGTCGCCTTCGCCTCCCGGGAAATCGCCTGCCGCCTCGTCTCCTAGAAACTCGCCGCCTCCGTCCGCTGCCATGAATCCCGAATAGTACGGACCTCCTCACTCCCTCTCGTCTACCTACCTTGTTCGAGTTCTGGATGGAATCTGTCAGTGCTGGGTTTTGGAGGCGGCCGATCTCGCCCACGGGTGTGTCCGATGGCCACCGATTCGTGCTCCTCTCGTGGATCTGCGCCCTCGCTGGACTTCAGTTGTACGATCGCGGATCTAGTTGTATTAAGTTCCATCCATGCCGGAGATAGCAGATTCTCGGATGCGCTCATCTTCGTCTCGGCCCACCGGATTTGTGCCTCCTACGTACGCCACCGTTATCTCGTAGCCCCTACCGAATGCTTCTAGTTTTAGAAGTTGGGGCTTTTTAGTCTCGTTTAGATGTGTCTTCAACGTGGGTTGTTACTTCCACTTGTTAGTAGCATGTATTATTAGCTTGTCTAGATGTGCAAAACGATGCGATGAGATGCTTGCGTGACTATGCAGTGACTACCTCTTCAAGCTGCTGCTCATTGGGGACTCGGGCGTGGGGAAGTCTTGCCTGCTGCTGAGGTTTGCGGTAAGGATTGCTCCTTTTTACCATCTCTTTGAGTAAACTTATTTCATGTAGATGCAGTGTGGAAGGGCGCCAGAAAACATAGAGATACTTTTTCTTAATTTGAATGAATGCGCCTCTCATACAAAGCACCAAGTTACTATTCGTACACAATCAAATGTTAGGAATCTGTAGCAGGGATGAACACCACAAAAGTGGTTAGCAAGCCATATTTCTTCTCTTGCTTGTTGTTGTTGCTGCCCATTTACCCTGTCAGTTTATAGTAGCCATTGCTGTGCTAGATGACTGTTATGGATGCCATGCTATGAACAAGGTTTGCAAAAACAATAGTGATGGCGTTACATTGTGTTTTATTCAACTCCTTTACCCATTTGATTCCGTTTTGAAAGTGGAACCCAAACAACAACTTAAAATGCTGGAAGATTATTTTCACAAATGTTGATTCTAGTGTAAGATTGCCATTTTCTTCTCTATGTTTGCTCTCTGCTCCGACGTACCTCTCACATGTGGCTTTACCAAAAAGTTATGCAGAGCCTGTCGGGGGCTAACCAAACACAGCCGGCATGTTACCCTTGGCTGGACAGCCATTATCTTATATTTAGCAAAAAAAAAAAAAAACTAACCATTATCTTGGGCTTTGATCTCCCGCAGTTTCAGAGAAAACTACTAACCAAATATAGTATTAAATCAATTTCTAAATTTTGTGAATATTCTAAAATGCATTGTAATTATTTGCCTTTTGACAAGTTACAAATGTTTTGTCTATTCCGTCTCTCTCATAGTAGTATCTACTAATTCAGTACTCAAGTTAAGGATATTATTTGCAATATGAAGTATATTATATTGTTAATGTCAAGTAAGCAGAGCCTAGCATGTGTCGCTAGTTGCTGGAAACTAGCAAAGACCAACAGTTTTGTAGGCTCTCCATATTCCTCTCATCTTTAGAAGCATTCAGTTTGTTCATGAAAGAGCATCTAGCACAAAACCTTCTAGAGAAATGTTGATATTCTGAATCAACTTCTGTGAACTAGCTCAGCCTCTTTTCTGATGCAAGAAACTGATGATCTTACTGACCACATTTACAGGATGATTCATATCTGGAGAGCTATATCAGTACTATTGGTGTTGACTTCGTAAGTTGATTCCTTTGCGAGCTTACATGAAGTTAATTTTCTGTATAGCATGCGCACTGCCCCCTGTTGTATATCCTTTTCACTGTTTTTGACTTGCTAGAAAATCCGCACCGTTGAGCAAGATGGGAAGACGATAAAGCTGCAAATTGTAAGTAACCCATTGTAGAAAGCTCTAAATTGTCCTTACAAGTTAAAAGTTTCAGCTCTGATTTTTCAACACGTTCTTAACCTTCAGTGGGATACTGCTGGACAAGAGCGATTTAGGACCATCACAAGCAGCTACTACCGCGGTGCCCATGGCATCATTGTGAGCTCTGTTCAACATTTGTCGTTATATATCTTGACTAGATCAATACCCATGATTCATAGTATTGTACCTTCTGTTGCACAGGTTGTGTATGATGTGACTGACCAGGAGAGCTTCAACAACGTCAAACAGTGGCTTAATGAAATCGACAGGTACGCTAGTGAAAATGTGAACAAGCTTTTGGTGGGGAACAAGTGCGATCTAGCTGAGAGCAGAGTGGTTTCTTACGAGGCTGGCAAGGTAATTGTTTGTGCATCCATTACCCTTGTATGTAGTTCCTACATGTGATTCGATTAATTATTAAAATCACATACTTGAATGCCGATTGCAGGCCCTTGCCGATGAGATTGGAATACCATTCCTGGAAACCAGTGCCAAGGATGCAACAAATGTGGAAAAGGCATTTATGACCATGGCCGCAGAGATAAAGAACAGGTGACAATACAATTCATATTCTACACCTCGTGCTGTCATACCCATTCTGGATATATATGAATGAAATTTGTGTTACACAGACACAGTAGACATGCATGGAAGGAAGTCTTGTAGTGATAACAATTTGGCTCATCAAATACATCTTATGTACTCCCTCTGTTCCTAAATATAAGTCTTTTTAGAGATTCCAATATGGACTACGTATGGAGAGAAATGAGTGAATCTACACTCCAAAATATGTCTATATACATCCGTATGTAGTATGTATTGAAATCTCTATGACTTATCTTATACTCCCTCCTTACCAAAATAAGTGTCTCAACTTTGTACATATATAGAAACGGAGGGAGTAGTAACACCATTTTAGAGGTACTAATTTTTGAAAGCCACAGTAGTTTGAATCTAGTGCCAGTAAATCTGATTTGTAGTGATGAACCATTATATCTGGTTCTGTTATGTTTACATTAATAGTAGGTGTATAATAATAGGTGTTAAATCTTAATTCTCTTTGCTACCTCTTTTGAACAGGATGGCAAGCCAGCCTGCTGGAAATGCCAGCAAGCCTGCCACCGTGCAAATGCGGGGTCAGCCTGTTGCTCAGCAGAATGGATGCTGCTCGTCTTGATCAACACTCGGAGATCACAGTAGTGTTCTTGCAAAACTCAATTGGTTGTTCTTCCCCTGTAAATTAAGTGTACTACTATCATGCCGCCTGTTGGAAGAAGTGTCATGTCCCCTAACTACAACAGTGCAGCAGATGCTGTGGCCTGTTTTAGCTGACTGTTAATATTTGCTATTTTAATGTGTTTCGTTTAATATTCACCTTCATTTGGTTAATGTTTCATGTTTCCATGCTTTGAAGTTCAATGCTGGTGACAGTATTGCGACGATGAGCGATCATAAATTCACCTGGCATTATATGCTCAGGGAAGACATATTTGCTTCTATCCGTGGAATGCTGCTTTTAGAAGACCACTTACGTTGCAGCTGTTATGTTTGGTACCTGCTTGTCAGATGATTATTAAACAGCAAATACTGTATCTCCCTTCTGTATCTCTCAGAGTGCTTGCTGTTATGTTTGGTACCTGTTTGTCAGATGATTATTAAACAGCAAATACAGTATCTCCCTCCTATATCTCTCGGAGTGCTTTTGTTCCTGGAAGACTAATCACAGATAATATTTTGGTAGCATATGAGTGTTTCCACTCAATAAAAAAGAAAAGAATGAGGAGGGAAGGGTTGTGTGCAATCAAGTTGGACATGCACAAAGCTTATGACCGAGTGGAGTGGTCTTGAAAGCAATTTTGTTGAAGCTGGGTTTTAAGGAAAATTGGGTGAATTTGATTATGCAATGTGTGTCCTTTGTGGAGTACAGGATTCGGTTTAATGGAGATGAGACTGATAGCTTCAAACCCACTAGAGGGCTAAGGTAGGGGGATCCCCTCTCCCCCTACTTATTCACTCCGGCATAAAGGTTAGCGGGAAGCTCCCTTAGTTTTCAATCTATTATCCGCGGATGATTCTTTGATCCTCGTACGAGCAAATGCAATGAAAGCGGTGGCCCTTAAAGCGGTTTTGAACTCTTACTGCGCCGCCTCGGGGCATATGGTGAGTGTCGAAAAATCCAGCATATTTTTTAGTCCCAACACGAAAGTGGAGGACAAAGCGCAAATATGTACAATTGTAAATATTATGACTGAGGCATTTAATGATAAATATTTGGGACTACCTGCCAATGTGGGCATGGACAAGCGATTGTTTTCAGTTCTTGATTGATCGTATTATTATTAAGATTAGTGGTTGGAAAGAAAAGTTGTTATCGGCGGGTGGGAAGAAAATTTTGCTTAAGTCTTTAAAATTTTGTCCAAGCTATCCCAACATATGCAATGTCCGTCTTCAAAATTCCTAAAAAGATTTGCAAAGAAATCATAGACGCGATATCGCAATTTTGGTGGGGTGATGAGGACAATCATAAAATGATGCACTGGATGGCATGGTGGAAGTTGTGTGTTCCAAAAGACCAAGAAGGAATGAGCTTCCGTGATATACATTGTTTTAACCTAGCTTTATTAGCGAAGCAAGCGTGACGTCTCGTGGATAATCCTGAATCGTTATGTGCAACAATCCTAAGAGCCAAAGGTGATTTGATGAGCGCAATATTAAAAAGGGCGCCTCCTTTACTTGGCAAAGCATTATGGTGGGAGTGGACTCTCTCAAGAACGGCTATATATGAAGAGCGGGAACATGCGAAAATATTGACATATGGAGAGATGCATGGATCCCAAATTATGCAGACAGGAAAATTATTACACCTACAAGGGGGAATCAACTGACGAAAGTTTCTGATCTTATTAACCCAATCACAAATGGTTGGGATGAAGAGTTGGCGAGACAAACTTTGTGGCCAATTGATGCCCGTAGAGTACAAGCGATCCCGATCCCTATGCATAATATGTCGGACTTTATTGCGTGGAGCTATACAGAAAACGGTTTATTCACTGTACAATCAGCTTATGTGGAGGAATGGAATAAGCAACATGGGGGAAGTTGGAATACTCGAATGGCATGGGCATAAATAATGTCAATCCTATTTGGGGTAAGATCTGGAAATTAGCTTGTCCGACGAAGGTTAAATTTTTTATTTGGCGAATGCTTCACGGGACCCTACCGTGTCGCGTTACACTAGCCAACAGACATATAAAAACTCAGCCAATATGCCCAGCATGTTTGGATGGGCTAGAGGACACGAAATATATATTATTTCTGTGCCAGAAAGTAAAGGAAGTGTGGGAATATTTGGGGTTGTATGAAGTGGTGAAAAAAGCCTGCGCCATTGATCGTGTAGGAGAGGCAGTCCTTGAATTCTTACTCCTTATACCTGACCATGAACTACATATCTTGGGCTCCCCGAATGCAGGGAACTAATCGCTATAGCTGCTTGGTATTTATGGTGGAATAGACAGAAACTAGTCCATGAGGGTAATTCTCAAGAGGCGTCCCAAACCTCGATGGGGATTAGGGCTATAACAACGAACTATGTAAATGCCCACTTTCCTAAAGCAAAGAGAAAGAATGAAGGATGGTGCAGACCTCCTAGGGGGTTTGTTAAATTGAATGTGGATGCTTCTTTTGATCATGATCAGCTAAGAGGCATAACGGGTGCTTTTATGAGAGATGACAAAGGAAACTTCATAGTAGATGGTAATTGGAGGATTCAGTATTGTGCGGATGCTCTGACAGCGGAGGCGGTAGCACTCAGATTTGGCTTATTGTTGGCACAAAAGACGGGATGCAATCGTCTAATTATCAATTCTGATAATACGGAGGTCATTGCCACAATGAACAACGGAGGACAGTCTGCGGGGGCGGCTGCTGCAATTTTTGAGGATTGTTTTTTATGGCCTGTGATTTTCCTCAAACCAGTTTTGAACATTGTAACAGGGAAGCGAATAAAGTAGCTCACGAGCTTGCTAGATTAGCAAAATGTTCCATGACTAGGGATTGGATAGAGGAGCCCAAGGAAAATCTTGTAACTCTCTTGATAGACGATGTAACCATTATTGCTAACTAATAAAGTTCAAGTTGTTTTAAAAAAACACCGTTATATAATGTAGATTTTGGTAAAATTCACTGCCTAGCTCCGATGATCGATGGCTGCCGCTATCGAGGCTGTGTCACAAAAGCTTGCTATAAAAACCTAAGTGCATGCTTGCTCGACAGTGGCATGGCTCAACATTGCAGTAGCGTCTCCACGGCTGGCTATAACTACGGCCTATCCAATTTTTCCACATTATTCATGCGCCTCTCTTATCACGCGGCTTCACAAAAACACTAGCTGCAACTATGGCCATGGCGCGAGGGGCGGAGCCAGGATTTGAGTATGAGGGGGGTGAAGAGGCCAATACCAAGCAATCGTATATAACATATATAAAAGGCGATTATATACGTCTTTTAGATATATATTACCGGGATCAAAATGCAATGACAAATATGTCATAATTCAAAAGAAAATTACACTTTTATTAGTATAAATATAACTCTAGACGGCAAAACATATCAAACAAATCAACAATATCACTCTCGGAATATTTAGCAAACTAAGAGTAAATATTAGAACATTTAGTTATCATCTTGATGTATGGTTGTTATGTACCTTTAGAAATTGTAGTAAGCAATGACCTAATAATTTGCATAGTCTAGTTGTATGTTGGATATACCTTCAGATTTGGTCTAGCCATGATAATATGAGCCGTGGGACTGGATTGTATAGGATTTGATACTGACCGAGAAGCAACAACTGTTTCATTGGGATGAGCCGGTGATGAAGGTTGAAGGAGAAACATGAACGAAAGGGAAGATCTTCCTTATGTGGCTGATGGCAACACGGAAATGCCCTAGCGCACGCAGGCGATCGATCCCAGAAATCAAAACAGAAATACTAACAATCAGACTAAGGTTTGGATTCGTAAAAAGAAATTACTGCTAATAGCTACAATCAGACGACAACTACTACCTGCTTGTATCCATAGGCTGGCCTCCCGGCGCCTAGATGTATAGCGTGGTGGTGAGTGGCGGCGGCGGCGGCAGCCATCTATAGTCAGGCGCACGTAGAGAGGATCAATCGATCAGATAGCATTAGGGCTAGGACCTGGCCTCGACCAGCAAAACAATTACACACATGAGGCAGGCCACGATCGTACATGGGCTACTGGCTGAGTTTGATGCATACTAATTACAGGATAAATCAGCTGGGCTATCTTTAAT